AAGTGGTAGCCATGTTGGTTTCACAATAAGCATGCTATAAGATTTCAGATTCTCGCGGCAGCAAGTATGAAAATGGCTGTCTTCTGGTTGAAGTGCCGTGTTGTCTGCTGCCTCCATTATCAGAGCGATCGCCATGATAATGGAGGCAGCAAGCACCTCTAAACTTTCGTTGCAGTTTTAAGTATAATTTCGCGTAATTCGTTACAGATATGTAGCTATAATACACCCCCCTTCTAGTACTGTCTTTGTATTGGGCTTTGTCCATTGCCTTAAAAACTTTAAACATCTTAAAATCTTCCAAAATGGAGTTTTTAAGGTTAGGAGATTTTCACGGTTTTTTTAAAAAACAGACAAAATGATAAAATGCGAAACAAAGAAATCAGTAGCATAATTTCTGCCATAACTCCCACCCTTGTTACACCTTAAATATTGTCGCAATTATAGGCTATACTCAAAATTTTATTCAGTCAGCCGGAATGATAGAGAAATGTGATTTCACATGAATGCAAATGCCAGGCTTCAAAACAATAGGCATATGTTTTCTCAGACACCCTGAGAGTACAATTTAATATTCATGAGAGTTATGTATAGACAATAGAATAAATTATTTAATATTTGTTGGTGTTGGTCTTCTGGGATGTAACACGGTGTGGACTGATAGGCGAAAACATAGTGCCTCTGTACTTTACGTTATGTACAATAAACTAAGTCTGTAAATAAATGATTTTTTTTATTTTAAAGAATTTATAATTCATGGAAAGACTGTATATAAAACGTGCAATTTTTGTTGTAAACTCTATTGTTTCTAACGTTAGTTGGATTACTGATTCGTTTTGTTATCATTAGTTAAACAGGTCGCATGAATTAGATTCCACATCAGGTTTTACGACGGACAGGGAGGAATTGTTTTCAGTTCAGGTATCCAATTGGCATTTGCCTGCTCACGTTTCACGGTGAAAGTTGTCAACGCGTCCGAAATTATTGATATCTCTGAATCGCCATGAACGATAAAGACTCAATGAAGATGAGTTCTTCAGAACCTAAGTCAGTCGGATAGTCAAGCAATTCCCCACCATTTATAAAACCCAAAGGTTCATTACTTTGGTCACCATAAAATAGTTTCAATTCCGTCAAATTTGACGTGTCGTAGGCGAGTAGGCTAATATTGATATTTTTATAACAATTATCCTGAAGCATTGTGTCCTAGACACGCATTTCAGGAGCTTGGTTTTGCTTCAGTGCGTAACCTCCCTGTTGTTATATTTGTCCTCAGTCCTTTCAAAATAATTTATAAGGCAGTAGCACCACATGCACCTCGTTGCATGTTTTATACGTTACACAGTGGCCGAAGTAGAGACATTATGCTGCAGAAACGAAGAATCTACGGTCTAATTCAACTAAAGTCCTAACGTGTCTGGTCTGACCTTGCAGTATGTGTAACTATACCACTGTGAGACAGACCTGTATTATTAAATCCCCGCTCTGTCATTTTCCAGTGTGTGGGCAAAGCCCGACTCACAAGGCCGAGTTTCTGCAAGAACCGACTACACGTTTATAATATTCATTGAGATTCAAGCTGAGCCTGGCGGTTGGCTGCAGATGTTTCAAATTAAGGGTCTGGCCGTCGAATCGGAAACTTCTATCAAAAATCACTCCTATCAATATGAAGCTTCAACACACGCAGCTAGCGAAGTCTCTGTACAAAGCCATTTGGTGGTTGAAGGTGCTTATTTCAGGGTGGGGCTTCGAATCGTGCAGCCCACGATGGATGAACGAAAGGAAATTGGAATAAAGAACAAAGGAAACTGAAAGCAATAACGAGAAATGGGAACCGATTCAAGATTGAAAATTACTATAGAGGTTATGAAAGAATGGATATTTCAGATTAATACGTTACTGTTTTTCGCTGCAGTGTCGAAACGTGGGAATTTGGATGGTTTCTTCAGAGCGTATTCCAAACTTGTTGTTATTAAAGACACGTTGCCTCCCATTTTGTGGAATGTACATGGCTACTGCGTCGAGAAAGATAAACTTTCTGGCTATATAAAAATGAGTACAACAATTTAATCATAAAACCTGAATGGAAAAGCCCATTATAAGACAGAGAAATACATTGAAAGTTAACATTAAAATTAATATTAGAGAAATAGGGTGTCATGGTGTCAATTGAATTCATCTGGCTCTGCGCAACAGGCCGGCTGACCAATCCCTCAGCACTGTTGTTCTAAATGGAAATGGAATTCAAGTTATGAAACTTCTCAGTACGTATCGTTACTATGTTACTAGGTTATTATTATAGTACATTTGAAATATGTTCATTTTTAAAATTATCTCGTTATGCTTTCGTCATTTTTGTATTTTATTACCTTACTCTCTGTTATTCTTAATGCTTGTTTGTAATTTACCTTGTTCGTCTATTGTCAACCAAATAGATAAATGGATTATAACCATTATTATTATAAGTGTTACGTTAATGCACATACATACACTTTTTACTTCTTATCAGAATTGCATGTATTTCAATCAGAGACATATATATATATATATATATATATATATATATATAGTATACATGCATTTTAACCATCGATCAGCATACCTCATAAACTGCATGTCAGATTCATCAATGAGATTCTTTTAATTACTGCAATCAGCCTTCATAGCATCTAGTCAGTTAGTGACGAGATTGAACATAATGCAGATATAACCCGCTTAGGTAATACATCTTACAGGGTAATCTCATCGATTTATATATTTATGTCGTGTTCACTGCTATTAAATTACTAATGATAAATGCAACTGGTTCATATTAGATGTTGTGTGTTAATGGCGTTATTGTTAGAGACATCTTTTTTCAGATGAAACTTGCCGACATCACTGAATGCAACCTCATTAGTGCGTACACTCTTTTCACACCTCGCCGCGAAGTACGCGTTTAACTTGGGTGACATGCAAGGGAAGACGCTGAAAGTGATAATACGACAATAGAAGTATTTTGCACACAGATCTTCGAATATGAGAGGTTAGGAGAGAGGTTAGTAACTGTTATTACTCGAATAACACAAATGAATATCTATTTCTGAAGCCGGAGGAGAACCAGCTCCCAAAATATGGTCCGCATCAAATATACCTCAAACAATGGCCAATGTCCAAAATACTATAATGTTCGAAATTGCCATAATATAATACGCACAGGCTATCTAACAGAGTTTGTTAATTTCTTCGTTAATGTATCCTAAGTATTTCCAAATTAGAGTGGGCTAAACCAAAGCGGTGCTCTGTCTCCGCCGCATTTAAATGTTATTTTCGAATATACCAGGAAGGACTGGAACTGAATGATCTAAATCAGGTTCACATCTATGCTGATGGTGTTAATTAATTTGGCCAGACTATAGATACCATAAAGAATGGCGCCGTATTGTCCTACAGAGAAGAAAATAAAATGATTTGGGACTTAATACAGAAGAACTTGACAGAAGACGAGAATAAACAGTAAACTCATAACTATAACGTATGTAATAGATGGTTCGAGAATAATGTACTTGAAGACGCGAGAAGTACCAACTTCGAAAAATTTTAGTATATCTCAGACAATAGGCAGCGACCAATACAGTATTGTTATAACCATAAAAATAGTAGGAATTTCGATTGATAGTTACCACAGCATCCTTGGTAAATTTTTGAAGATGCATCACGTTTGCCAGTACACCGCATTGAGAATGCTGATGAAGGAACAATGCGACGACCGCATGAAGATCTATCATGAGCTCATCAGTACAGCAGATAACAATGCAGGGATTCTCCGCAGGTAATTAAACCTGGTGCTTCGTTTAGGTCCTCAAAGGAAACGGCAGTTCTGACACGATCGTTCAAATTTGGGAGTCGTTTTTCGACTGGTAATGGCATTATGAACCACGCGGTTACTGCGGTAAATGAAGTCACTCACTTACAGGAAGCAATCCACCGTAACCCTTCAGAATGTGGGTGGCCAAGAGCTCATGCGTGACATATCTGGCAACTCACCTACTTCTCTCCTTCTGAGATGTCACCCTACCAATCATCTGGCTTGCGATGTCTAGCTTTGTCCGCAGATGAAAATCCAAGTTAATACCGGAAGTGTGAAGCTGCAGAAGGAGACATAAGTCCTCTCACACTCGTCGGGTTTAATATGGCCCTTATGCTGTGGTGCTTTCGAAGTTCGATTCCCGGCGGTGCCCGAATTTATAACTTGTGTTGGGCAAGGCCGTGGTCTAGGCAACACGGAGTTTTCCTCCGGGGGCTTCCCCGGTTTCTCCGTGGCATCCCAACAATTACTCCATTCACACACAGAAGAAGGCAATGGCAAACCGCTTCTGGATCATCTGCCAAGAACGTATATGAACAGGTCCCAGTCCGAGAAAAGGATGGAAGGATCCTGTTCATATGGACCTGTCGTCAGACAGAACACTAAATAAATAAATCACAAAATATTTTAACTGTAAACGTTCTGCATTATGTAACATTATATTATTGCTTCATTTACTTTTTAGCCTATAACCATTGTAAAATAGATATTTAAAAACAAATCTGAAATGAAAATATGCCCAAATATTCAAAGCTTGTCTGTAAATAAAACTCGAAGAGCCTGTATGAGTGTGCCTGGACGGAATACATAGAATAAGGAGAAACATTAGAATATAACAAATTGCTTTCCTACGCCTTTCACATTTAAATTCAGGACATGTTTAAGGTGGAGAATGGCAATGCTGTTAGAGGCGGTATCACACCATGTATAAGATAAGGCAAGGAGTTTCAAGCTAGACCAGGGGTAAGCAGAAGTACAGGGGCTCTTTAAAATATCCTTTATCATGCTTGTTCAGCGTTTTGCGTTTTCTGAATGCCGGAAATAAACGCACTCCCGTTTCCAAATTCCGTGTTTGATTCTTATGGATATTTAAGGACTATCTTACCTCAGCAAAATTTAAAAACGTGTATGTATAATTACTTAAGAACGGAATAATCTTGGAAGGCCTTTAATTTATCTCTTGTTCATTGTGAAATATGTGGTTTGAAAATTACCACTGATAAATTATCTTTGTGGTTTTTCCTTTCCGGCGCATTTGATTTGCTTTCCGATTTGTATGTTGTAATGTTACTACAGACATTTCACAATGTGTATGAAGCAGTAAACATAGGCCTACGTAGGCATTTCTGTCACAGAGAAAAACTCACATTTTCAGTTTGCCAGCCAAGGCTTGTTGTAGGTAGTCTATGGACCAAGCACAGTGTAATTACAAGCAACCAAATTTCTTTTATTTCATATGAAATTTTACGATAAACGTAATTGTGAAAGTATGTTTTAAAAATTCTGATGCATTATGATTAACTAGTGTGTATTTATTTTCTATGTGTCTGTGTGTGTGATGGTGTAACAAATCCAGAAAGTCTGTCACTGAGGCTCGCTATGATAAGGCGAGCATCATCTATGTACCAGCAAAACAGAGCGTTTCGTGTCTCTCATATTTTAATCTCCAGAGCACAAAATATGCACACTGGACAGTATCGGTATGATGGTGTACCTCAAACCCTTTTAGAAATAAAAGTCTGGAAAGATTGAGAGAAAATATTTAGAAATTTAGCTCGAACCCGTTAACATCCGGGGAATTTCCTTGCTTACAACGGCGAGCACATAGCTCAGAATAAAAAAATTGAACCTAGACCTTAAAAAGTAATTACAACTTTTAAAGACGCAGCTACTATAGACCTGTAGGGATTTGTTGCAACTCGATCGACTGGTACAGACATCTATATTTTCGGCATGAAAATTTGTTTTTACTTGTTACTGTATAGATAGCAGCACTGTTGTTTAATTCTTGTCAAACTAATCACAGACGAGTTATTTAATTTTAAATTAGCGAACTTGAGCTTCACGTAGCGTTTTGAACGCGACATTTTCTCGTAGCAGCTCGTGTGTATGTGTGGATTACATGCGTTAGCTCAACTAGGTATTTTGTATAATGTGCATAACACGTCAACATGGTCCCTTTGGATTACTGTATGGTCTTAAATGAAGCTGAAATTGGGTGAATGAAATAATGTAAATCGAATATTCACCTACCTTCGACTAATTTTCTTAAAAAAAATATTATTCATATTCTTGACCCATCACAACTATTTGTAAAGTTGTAATTTTGCGATGATGAAATTAAGTTTCATTTGAAATTCCAAAATTAGCAGTGGTGAACAAAAACGTCGTGCAGGTTTGAGGCCTACTTGTTGCCTCGTCGAGGTTATTGTTAGAACTGTGCAGTCATAATTCATGGCGGTTTGTGTAATTGTGCACTACCAGCTGGCATGGCGTGGCAGGATGCAAACAGTGTCTTGATTGTTGATTTACGTAAAGTAGTCGTGAAACGCCGCCCATTCTCAGGTGCTAATTGGAGGAACTAGATAACAAATGACTAAATCTGTTATTTGTCACTTAGTTTGCACGGTATTTAAATAAACAGTGTTCCACTGAATCGATAGATATTTTCAGTACTAGACAAGAAAACAAATGTAAATAAAATAAGAAAAATAATGAAGATTTCTGTCTTCTGGGTTATTGCGCTGTGTAGTCTGGTCGATGTTAACCAACGTTTCAGAGGTCATACTGCCTCCGTCATCAGGGCGATGAATATTCATCGCCCTGATGACGGAGGCAGTATGACCTCTGAAACGTTGGTTAACATCGACCAGACTACACAGCGCAATAACCCAGAAGACAGAAATCTTCATACTCACCGCTGTGAGAACCTCAAGTCTTACAAGAAAAATAATAATGGGCAACTCTGCATTGTACTTCTAAGAATGTAGATTATTTCACACTCCTGATAAAAGAAAATTATGATCATAGAACCACTTCCATTTAAGAAACGATGCAAAAGAATGTTATTATTAATATGAGCATTTTATAGTAAGTCTTTTATAGCTCTGTAGCCCCCTCGAAACGTAATTTTATGGTTTTGTTTGTTCCAACTAATCATCCAGGAAACAACAGTTCCTGCTTTCCATCGTTTCCTGCATCTTTTATATCATATTTGTATGGTAAAGACAACTCAATTGTTAAATGCTTCTCTTCAAAAATTGTCTAAACACAACTGCAATACAAATCTCCGTGTGTAAACATGTTTTAAATTCAGTACATACATTTGAGAGTAAACTTTGTTTGATGAAACAAATCTGAGGAGAAAATGCTGTAGTCAACTTTGCGGACAGAACTTACACTGTCACGTTTACGTCGTTAAGTTGTTATGCTTGAGTAGTTTGGTTTACAAACTGCCCGCACTTGATATCGGCTCGTCGTTGTGTCCCACAGTTTACTAACTCAGCTGTTCGAGATGTGTATCCGCTTTAAGTCTGATCATATTTGCGGTCATGACACACACGAGACCTACCACGTTTGGAAAAACACCTGTGAAATTCGCTGCAAGGCAGGTAGCGCAGGTATCATTTTATTCTGTTTAAAAAAACTGGGTTTTTAAAAATCATTTTCGACGAGATTCCTTTTTCACGTTTACGCTCCAAACTACTTACTTACCTGCACAATTCAGATTACACTTTTCCTCTTGCTTTGTAATATGATTCGGATATTGGTCATTATTGCGAGTCAGATGTTAGCGATATATACTATACGTATTTACATCTTATATGAACACTTAAGAGTGTTTTTTTAAATTACGTTCTAAAGTTGCTTGTCAATGGTCTCTTTTCGTTCGAATATATTCTTTCAAAATCCAACTTACGTTATCATTCTAAATTACCCCCATTTCACAATGAACCTAAAATGTCAGCAGTTGCACTTCAGTAGTAAAAATTATAACTAGTGCTAAAGCATGTCAATACATCTCGTAGAGGATACTGAGATGTACCACGCGATATGAGAGGATGAAAGTTAGAAAGTAAAGGCAAAATTTGTTATAATTTTATGACGTCGAGATAGGACTTCCTACTAGTTACGATCATTGGTTTCTATAATCTATCTTAAGCTAGGCGACAGAAAAGACGAATGTCACAAGAATATACATTTCTAAATTCATCGTCTTTTGCCACGACTAAATATATATCATACGATTTATGCCACTGAAAATAATAAATTATTTTATTAACTGTGCTTACAAAAGTAGATCTAGTCTTGAGCGAAAATTAATAAAGCAGATTGATAATTTCTCTTACAAATATAAAATTCTTTCGTATTTTGACAGTGTTATAATTTACTCTGCCCAGCCAGTAAGAACAATTAAGCTTCTCAGGACAGAAATTTAATGAATTTTCAAAACGCATTAGATGCCTGCCACTGAAAATGAACACAGCATAAAGATCTTAATATCTTCGGTGAAAAGTTCAGTGGTGTTGATGTTGTTATTTTTCTTTAATAATATTTTAAGTAGTGTAAATTAGTCCTTGAGAAACATCTTTCAATCAAAGCATTCTTCATAATTACGCCATAATTACTTTCTTACGCAGGAAAAAACTATCATGAATCTTAATTGTCTGGAATATAGTCCACAGCTGGAGTGTTTTCCTTGAGGGACTACAGATTTCGTGGGGCATGCCGGTCAGAACAGCCGAACCCAGTCATAATTCGAAACGAGTGCATCTCCGCCACATAAGCTAAAACTCTGCAAATGCTTCCACCTGCTTCGACTGAATAAAAAAAGGAAATTAAACGCGGTGCTGTTTCACATATCACAAAACAATTGTTATAAAAAACAAGAAGATTTTGAGATAGAATTTATTGATTATCCAACATGTTTCGACTTTTAAAAGGCGGTCTTCAAGGGTGGCATCTTATTACAACGCATCCAACTCAGAATTTAAACAATGTTCATGTTATATGTTACGTATCAAATTCAAAATATAGCCATATCTCTACAATGACATTCACTATAATTGGAATTAGTGTGGATATTTGCTGTCTTACAAGTTTTCTAAAAACTGGTTCTGAAAATTAAAGTTTCCAGTAGTCACCAAATTTGGTTACGTTCGGACGCTAGGGACTAGAGCGCAGCCTGGCGGAGAGCTCACCCGCGGGTCTACTACTGCAGTCCGCGGTAATGGTTCCAATCATCGCCCGTCATTACAGGAAGGGCCTTCCGCAGTGGCCGTGGGAAACACACTTAACTACTATACAGGCCATAAATCTAAACTTGACAGCTTGTATTATAGGTTTGTGGTGTCTCAGCC